TACAAGTAATGCGCCAACACAATACATCAAGAACAGACATGACCAATACAAGTAATGCGCCAACACAATGCATCAAGAACACACATGACCAATACAAGTAATGCACCAACACAATGCATCAAGAACAGACATGACCAATACAAGTAATGCGCCAACACAATGCATCAAGAACACACATGACCAATACAAGTAATGCGCCAACACAATGCATCAAGAACACACATGACCAATACAAGTAATGCGCCAACACAATGCATCAAGAACACACATGACCAATACAAGTAATGCGCCAACACAATGCATCAAGAACACACATGACCAATACAAGTAATGCGCCAACACAATGCATCAAGAACACACATGACCAATACAAGTAATGCGCCAACACAATGCATCAAGAACACACATGACCAATACAAGTAATGCGCCAACACAATGCATCAAGAACAAACATGACCAATACAAGTAATGCGCCAACACAATGCATCAAGAACAGACATGACCAATACAAGAAATGCGCCAACACAATGCATCAAGAACACACATGACCAATACAAGTAATGCACCAACACAATGCATCAAGAACAGACATGACCAATACAAGTAATGCGCCAACACAATGCATCAAGAACAGACATGACCAATACAAGTAATGCGCCAACACAATACATCAAGAACACACATGACCAATACAAGTAATGCGCCAACACTATGCATCTAGAACAAACATGACCAATACAAGTAATGCGCCAACACAATGCATCAAGAACAGACATGACCAATACAAGTAATGTGCCAACACAATACATCAAGAACACACATGACCAATACAAGTAATGCGCCAACACAATGCATCTAATGCGCCAACACAATACATCAAGAACACACATGACCAATACAAGTAATGCGCCAACACAATACATCAAGAACAGACATGACCAATACAAGTAATGCGCCAACACAATGCATCAAGAACACACATGACCAATACAAGTAATGCACCAACACAATGCATCAAGAACAGACATGAAAATGCGCCAACACAATACATCAAGAACAGACATGACCAATACAAGTAATGCGCCAACACAATGCATCAAGAACACACATGACCAATACAAGTAATGCACCAACACAATGCATCAAGAACAGACATGATCAATACAAGTAATGCGCCAACACAATGCATCAAGAACACACATGACCAATACAAGTAATGCGCCAACACAATGCATCAAGAACAGACATGACCAATACAAGTAATGCGCCAACACAATGCATCAAGAACAGACATGACCAATACAAGTAATGCGCCAACACAATGTATCAAGAACAGACATGGCCAATACAAGTAATGCGCCAACACAATGCATCAAGAACAGACATGACCAATACAAGTAATGCGCCAACATAATTCACCCTAAAACATTTACTCCTGCTAATCAATTTGCATTAAAATTGATTTTTTTTTTAAGGCTGCAACAACTAGCGATGGCAGCAAATACAAATTTTCTGGGTCTTTCCCTGGTTAAGAGAATCCCTTTTCTAGTGAAATGTCTCTGATATAGGTGCGGTAAATTGATATCCATGGGAGGTGAATTTCGCAAGGGCTTGTAAAAGACAGTAGTGGACACCGGGGATTTTTTATAAAGGGGGAGTGGAGCAGAGATTTGTGACGCTATATTGGGGGTGGGGGTCTAACATTTTGTGACGATGAGGGGAGGGTGGAGTAAAAAAAATCGGCAAAAATTGCGTGACGTCCTTTATGGATGGCCCCTTATCAATTGTATTCGCTTTATGACCCTGAGAACTGATTGAAACAAAGTTATTATTGTAAAAATCGCCATTGTTGAACATCTAGAAATTCGAAAATATATTTACGTTAAGATAGATGAAAGATTTTAAAGACAGCGCTGTTTTTTTTATTGCAGTGACGTAGCTAAGGTCAGCGCCACCTGGACTGATCAAAGGTTTCGCCCCCTACCCTCCCCACTATTTTTTTCCACGAAAAAAAAACCTCTGCCTCTAGTTGAAAACGCCGCCCCACATTAGAAGGAAAAGAGTAGCGCCCGAGGCAAACCACCCCTCCACAACCTTCTCCCGACATCACTAGTTCATGGATTTGTCATTTATTTTCTTTATATAATTAAACTTACGGTCAAAACAAATGACCTCATTTAATAGACATAAAGGAATCTAAAACCAAATTTACAAAACATTCTGTAAAATTTGGTAATACATGTATTCACATTTCTAATCAAAGAAAAAAAAGGTTACCTAATTACAAAAGTTCTGTTTTCTTTTCTTTTAATATGTATTATGAAGTATGACGTCAGTATTATCATGTCAGTACTTCTTTTGTGCGCTTGCACCTACACCGTGGACTGTATTATTTTAAGATTCATTTATTAAAGTAGTAGGTAAAAGAAATAATTGGTTTAAATAATAAAACGCAATTTCTATTAAAAATTTTAAAAATAATTTATATAATACTATAAAAATGTAATAAGGGGGAGAGACTGCATACAGGTTAGCAAAAGCAGTTTCAATTTTGGTCTCTTAACTGTGAAACATGCCCCCTAAAAATGGTTATTATGATTTAATCACTCAAGCCTGAACAGAGGAAACATCATTAGACGTCAAGTGTCGGGTAAAAAGAGGTGGGGATGTCATGTCAATCTGTGGTAAAATTTTGAGACGATTTGGGGGCGGGCGGCGGAGGGTTAAAACAGCGTGACGTCTTTTTTGGATGGTCCAGGGGGATAGCCTCACCCCGTGTTAAATCCAACGTCTACTTCTTAATTACACCTAGCCCACTAATAACTGAAAACCTACTTATACATTGTCCTATGCCTATGAATCATGATAAACAAGTTGTGCATATGATTCCCACTTTGTTTTCATTGGAAATGTTTGCCCTACTTACAATATGCCTTTAGTTGCTTCATTATAAAAAAGGAGAAAAAAATAAAAATGATATTAGTAAAAGATGTAGAAGGCATTCTTTTTCTTATTTGTTTCATAAAAAAATTAAATTAAAAAACCATCTAAATTAACAATATTGCGAAATAATTTTGTGATCAAAAAGAAATTACCAAGTTGAAAGGTCAGGGACACAAGGTTGTAATGGCAGCGGTCTGTGCTATAATATGCTGAGAAAACCCAAAGAAAGTATTCAACTAAATTTCTTTATTACTTTCTTTTCTTTGTATATTAAAAGAAAGATTCGATGAATCGAAATGTTCAGTTGTAGATTTAAAATTATGACATTTTGTTCCCTTTTATTTAAAATAATGTAAAACTCAATGATGTGCGGCCAACCAACACACCAAGTAACCATATATCGATAAACGCTGGTTTAGCCACAAAAACCAGTCTAAGCAATATAGTTCTTTAATCTGACCACTTAAGTATTTTATATAATATATTCATGCTTATTGAGGTTAGGTATCATTTTACATGATTTATGTCTGTTAAATAGTTAAATCAAATGGTTAGAATTAGAGCATCATTAACATGCAATGCCCCACCATCCATTTTCCATACCATGGCATGGGCATGGGAGATCAGATTTGGTTGAATTATGATGATGGGGTGTGGTCCTAGTTTTTACTAGGCCTTTTTTTACTTTTGGTAATCTCTTAAATTAATTGCAGTTATGCAAATTGAATTATCGGTAACCTTTGCTTTCTGCACCACACATTTGTGACGACTCATCTTTTTTTCCATTAAAAAATATATTGACATAATTTATTCCACATGTTCTTGGGAAAAAGCAAAAGATACATCTTTTAAATTGTAGTGTATTTATAATTTTATTTTTCCATTTTCAATTCCTGTCTTTTTAATTTTTTTAGTACATTAATTTACTGCACATAGACATAAGATGGCTACACTGCGCACGTTGATCCATTAGAACTACTACCTGGGGTTTGCGTTGATTTAATTAATTAAATTGGAAATGTTAGTTTGATAAGAAACTATCCTTACTATGTTTTTTAAATTAATAAACTACAAAGCTTTTTTTAATGTTGCAGAGAGACTTACACAAGATGGATATTGAACCCATTTCTTGTACTGATGTCATACACTATATCTTGAGTGTCTAGTGAGCCAGAAAGTTATTTCAAAGGAATGCGTTATCTGCCCACCAGTTTCCTTAACTTAGCTCATTAAATATTGTATCATGAGTGTCTATAAAAGCCTTTCGGGACTGAAAGTTGCACTTCCTGTTGACATATCGAGGCTTACAGGCCTATCACGACCCATTAAATTAACAGCTTTGAGTTTGTCCCTCGGTGTGGCATTAATTGGTGCGCTGGCTGTATTCTTTAGAAAGCGGCGAAAGCGGACACAGATGATTCAGAAAAAGCTTGCAGCCAAAAATGAGCAAAGACAACAGATCAATGGTCCTAACCACCTTCCCCACCCTGCATCTCAACATCTCAAAAAGCAGCATGGAACAAATTCATCGGCACCAGTCACCAGGTCAGCAAGCTCATCATTCAGGAAGTTGAGGAGTAATCATTTAACAAAGACTCAAACACCAAATGGAGGTAAAGTGATTGCTGCTTTGGGTTTAAAAAAGTGTCTCCAAATTTATAACGCCTTTTTTTTTTACTTAACTTGAGTGAGCTTTGTTTGTCTTATAGGGACTTATAGGGATATAAGCTAGTGTTTTATAGTTTTCCTTTGTAAGTAAAACTGCTTTATTAAGTAAATTTAAGGGATTTTTTCAAAAGCTTACAAAATTACAATTATAAATTATGGACTAGTTATCAACAAAATTTAAATGTCAAACATTAATTTTATTGAGCTTTGTTTTGATTTCCTCAATTTGGCTTAACCTCTTCAGATGTACTTCATTCTTCGAAGAAAAACAATTTATCAAGCAGTGTTGATGGCAGCAATTGTGGTAGTGGGGATGTTGGAAATCTCTTGAGACAAAGAGCCCTTTCTGCATCCATGAACAGTTTAGGTGGTGTTTCCAACAATTCAAGTTCTTCTACTATTACTCACTCAGGATTAGACACTGCCAACATGACCAGTGCTGACCTCTGTCAGTTGGGTAAGTTGTCTTAGAATACCCTCTATTCCCAGTGTTTTGGATAGTAATTAACCTTAAGAATTTTTTTTTTGGCCTGATTCAATTTGAACTGATTGAAAAAGGTTTTAAAGGATATTTAGGAGGGTTTTTTAAATTTCAAGGTGTGTGGAAAGTATGTTTATTAACAAGTTTAATTTTGAAATAATATCCACATCGATGTAACTGAAAATTAATCTATGCACATTTCAAATGTCAAATAACTGACAACCAAAAGTGCTCTACAAAATGTGCATCACGCAGAGCTAAATGTATAATTATGCTAATACCATGTTTAAAACCATTTTTTTTTTAAAACTATATTTATGTTTCAAGCTGTACCTTTTTTTTATCTTAACTACACCAGGAATGGAGAACCTTTCCTTAGCAATTTCATATTGGGAAGATGCTGTTATGAAGCTGTCCTACTTGGATGAACAACAGAATTCTTCTGTGTTAGCTATTCCAGTAAGTGCTTTCAGAATTATTGAAAAGCAAGTTTAAATACCTGTATTAACCAGCCAAGCTTTATCTTGGAAACTATGCCGTTTTATTTAAATTTTACATCATTTAATCTTTATTCAACCAGTACTGGATAAAAAAAGAATTTCTACAAGTCTTTTTTTGTTAATTAAAATTTAATTACACTATATTTATCTTATTATTTTGAAAACCTACAGGATGAAGACACTGCAAATTTACAGCACAGACTTGAAAATCTTCTGGACCTTGCCTACCGCATGCAGGAGAACTATGAGCGCCTATGTGATCGCCAGGTAGAGTCGATAGCCCTGGAGTCTGCCCTGGCTGTCTTTGCTGAGAGAGACAGAGAGAGGAGTTTTGATGATGATTCTAGTGATCAGGAATCTTTTGTTTCTGCCACAGATGTAAGTAGTTGCTGTCAGACATAATGTTTTATATGTTACAGATGTGGCAGTTATGAATTTCAATTCATTAAGAAAAACTATTTCATGAAAATAAATCTGATGCTAACCCTATAACTTTCAAGTGCATTTTTCTGTAAGTGTCAAGCCATTTTAGCATTTTTATATGCTGTCAAAAATGACTTAACCCCATACTAAATAAATAGAGACCCTAACAAGTATATTGCTCAAACTATCAAAAGCTAGAAAATGTCAAGTTATGGGTACTATAGTTAAAATTGCAATATTAGTCAAGTTTCTTCCAAATTTCTATCATACAAAATAAAAAGGGAAAGCATAAAATCGGTTCATAAATTCTTTTTCAAATGAAGTTATTAAATCAATTTTTTTTATTAATTAATACTTCAGAACATTCACAAACATAAATGTCTTTGAATCTCTTTAGGCTCCGTCTTTGGGATCCAATCTTTGTCTTTTCTTTTCCCAAACGAATTTGTCTGTAACAATATGACTAAGCCTAGGGCTAAAATTGTCAATATCTGACTCTTATGTCGTCATCACTGCTAGAACTAATCCTGTCATTACTAGCACATGAAATATCTCTGACGTCATTGCTTTCATTTTAGTCCATTTGAAATAATTCTAATAAAGAAATTCTGTGTTGATTTTGCAATCTAGAGGGGGACCCTCTCCAGTACAGACATTATGGCGGTCAAAAAAAAATGTCACACCTGGATTAATCACATAAAAAGCCCTGATAAAAGTATTTTAGCACATAGAAATGTAAACTTGACATACTAATATACATTAAAGCATTCTCATTTTAAATAACAATTTGGCTAGCAGTGGATTATTTTGACTGGGACACTCGGGAAAGGGGTTTAACTGTCAATGGCCATTATGATAGTTATATGGTTAGTATCGATAGAAATAAAATTTATATTGCAGGAAATATTCAGATTGTATTAGAATACTATCCGTCGCTTTAATTTATTGGCAAAGCTCCCAGAACTATGCTATCTGGCCAGATAAGTTTTTGTGTTGTGTCAGAAATATATGTTGACTACTATAGCCTTTTTTTCATGAGAGTGTAGTCAGCCCTTTGGCTTAGGTTGCTCAGCTTTTTCTGTCTTGGTTTCCTTCTCTTCATGAATAGCTGCTTTACTGGTCTGAAAAGTCCATTCCACTTAGTTTGTTGTAAGATTTTCCTTTTCTCAGTTTTTCCCCCCTTTGAATGACAAATTTGTTGACTAAATTAAACTTATAAAAAGTAAAAGCTATACATTAGACTCACATAGATTGTGACACAGTAAAAAATGGTTACTTTTCAGATGGCTCACTTAACAGATCTGGACTTTAACCGTGATATTTTACATCATGTACCTCTGTATGAAGCTGGTATGTTGGAACTTAAATATGGCAATGTGCCCTGTCGAACAATTAGGTAAGCACAAATGGAATGGTGGGAAAAGAAAAAAAAATAACACAACTTTATTATTATTTCCAACAACTCCCATAAATATTTATAATTTTTTTTTATGTATAGGTAATGAAAATCTGCTTTAGTCTGTTTTGTTTACAGTGATAAAACAAGACTTTATGAATTAATCTTCTATTGAGAGGAAATAAAAAGTAAGCTTCAGTAACATTTATTTTATTGTTCAAAAGAGCCACATCTTAACAACACTAACAGCTTAATTCTTTATTTCTTACAGACCAGAGATGGTACAGTGTCTTTCCGATGTGGAATTTCTGGCCAAACTCCATGGCATCCGTTTGGCTTTCTATGTAAGTTTACAACTGATGTTACAATAGCCTGCTTCTAAAAGCTCAGTGAATCTACTAATAGGATCTGGAGCTTATATCAGATTTCTGTATGTTTTGTCTCTTTCTTGATTCCAGTCGATCTTCCAAGATGAAAGCAAGAGAGATTGGTTTAAAGCCATGGGCAGGAAGTTGGTAGGAGATCTCATGATCAAAGCAGACAAAGTAAGAGGTTTTTTTTAACACGCCTAAAATAAGAATTGAATTAAACTTATTTTGTTTTGGAAATAAAAACAATATTTTAATGTATGCTTAAGACATCAGTAGATTTTTACTGTAAAGCATTCATAATTAGAATAGCTTTTGATTTATTCATAATAACTGATTCCTTTGACCCTGCTGTCCCATCCAAACAGGATGTTGATGAGTTCCACAGTACCTATGACAAAATGATGCAGTTCATCAGTGTGGACTCCAACTGGCCCATGATTGAAGAGGAATTGAGAGGGAGAGGAGTACGTTTTTAAGAGAGGCTTGTTAACAAATACCAAAAATATTCAAAGACTTATGAAGATTTAATTTCATAGTTTGTATTATGTGTTCTGGTGTGTGTCGTTATTTAACTAACCATGTCATTTTGTTGTTGGAGGTGTTGTGTCAACAAGGGGATGTAATGCTTTCCATTTTCTACTCCAAGAGTTCGGTTTCCAACAAAGTCCAAATTCCCTTTCATATGTTCGAGAGTCAGGTGACATTCCCTTTCAAAGGGTTTTTTTTTTTTTTTAAATTAAATAATTCATTATGGTTGAATAAAATATAAAATAAATTATACCTTAAATTTAAGTGTAAAAAAAAAATAAAAACGGTTTCCAACAAAGTCCAAATTCCCTTTCATATGTTCGAGAGTCAGGTGACATTCCCTTTCAAAGGGTTTTTTTTTTTTTTAAATTAAATAATTCATTATGGTTGAATAAAATATAACATAAATGACACCTTAAATTGCAGTGTAAAAAAAAAATGAAATGCAATGCAAAAAGTGTGTTAGCCTACATTGTACAAAAATAATATGTCCCTCAATTCAAGTAAAAAATTTTATTGTTTTATTTTCAGCCAAGAAATTGGATTTTTTCATTAGGTCTTTAACTCTTAAAGTCTGACGCGTCAGTCTAACTGGCTTTCTGCCGGTCACGTTTGATGCGGTCTAGTCTATGTGGCATTTCATAGTAACTTTTTAATTTTGGGATTTTATATAAATATTTCGGTATCTTGTCCAAATCAATATTTCCGCATCCTCTTCCAGTGTTTACATTTTTCAAACGTGCAAGGAATTTGTTTTTTATCTCAATTTTACTAAATTTTTTATGAAATATTGTCTGTGGTCACATAGGGTCAAATTTTATCACAACAAAATTAAAGCGTCAAAACGTGGATTTTACCTACGGGCACCAAAAGTTATGTGTCTTGTCAGAATTGAGTAGATGACATGACTATTTCTTTTAAATCATATTAATAATGATTTAAAATGTAGCTTATCCGATGAATAGATTGCAAGACACATCTGATCAATTTATTATAATATAAACTCAATATTACTTTGATGAAATTCATCAGTATGTAACAACATTGATGAATTTAATCACTGTGTAACAACATTGATGAATTTAATCAGTATGTAACAACATTGATGAATTCAATCACTATGTAACAACATTTATGAATTTAATCAGTATGTAACAACATTGATGAATTTAATCAGTATGTAACATTGATGAATTCAATCACTATGTAACAACATTGATGAATTTAATCAGTATGTAACATTGATGAATTCAATCACTATGTAACAACATTTATGAATTAATCAGTATGTAACAACATTGATGAATTCAATCTCTATGTAACACATCTGATCATGTTTCAGGTTAGAGTGATGTCATTCTATGACATTGTCCTTGACTTTATCATGATGGATGCTTTTGATGACTTGGCTAATCCTCCATCCACTGTGTTGACGGTTGTACAGAACAGATGGTTATCCAATGGATTCAAAGAAACTGTAAGGCCTATTACTTAACATATTTTTGGTTGGGTCTGAACAAACAATAAATCCATCTTTAAATCCGATGATCCTAAATTAAATATAAATTAAGTAATTTCACTTTTTAAAATTTTTTAATTAAAAAAAAACATTTATCCTCTCTGTCCCATAGCAGAAAAAACTATGCTACCAATAGTACCAAGGAAATGTAGGGAGTTACTAATAAAATTCTTTGAAATTTTCTCTTTGATATTAATCATATCTTTTTGTCATGCGGCACTTTTTCTGGATTTATTGACCAACTTGTTTACATTCTGTAATTTTTTATTATTCTAGGCTTTGGCGACTGCTGTCTGGTCCGTTTTGAAAGCCAAGAGAAGTTTACTTAAGGTTGGCACACTTTGATGTTGAAAAATTAGGCAAACCTTGTCTGTTCTACCCATTTCAAGATTTTAAATGATAACTTCATGGTTCAGTTTTGTACGGCCTTAATTGGATCAATTACAAAATTTGTATGATGGTTCGTCAATTTTGTATAACCATATCCTGATATTTTAACCCTTTCCCCTGTTGTTAAAATGATGGATCAGTTGCATAGTTTTTGCCATGGTTCCGTAATTCAGTTTTATGTGACACTAATCTGATGTCGTTAACATTTCACCTGCAGTTTAACGATGGCTTCATTGCTCACTTCTATTCAATCACTGAACATACAAGTCCCTTGCTGGCCTGGGGATTCCTCGGACCTGACACCGAGCTCAAAGAAATGTGCAATTTTTTCAAGGTCAGTTCATCCTGTGTTATAATGATGATTAACGTACAGTCAAGATCATTTCACAATGTATTCTCATAATATTGATTCAATGTATAGCAGAAAAATAATTAGAAAACTTGGTCTGGCAAAGTGAGATAAGATTTCTAAGTCTAGTCATTTAGTTTCGTCATTGATCGAGAGTAATGAAAAAGGCCTTGATTAATTCTGTTATGTTTCAACTTTGGCCAGCAGATCTTTTGTTGTTCAGATCTTGTCGCAATTATTTGGGGGATTTTCGTTATTTTTCTCCTCATATTCTTGAAACAAATATATTCAATTCTTGGCTTGTGCAAGGATTTTACTTTTTGGGTTTTTCATTTCACAAAATTTCTTCTTTTTCTTTTTGGTTTTTTTTTTTTTCCAAATTTTTTTTTTTTTTCCCCCCCCCCCCCCCCATCTCTGATTTTAAGTTATGAAGAGTTGTTTTATTTAAACGTTGATAACTTTCTCTACTTTTACAGGATCTGGTGTTAGGATTTATTAGAGACATTTTCAGTTTTGATAAGGTCCGGTACACAACGGTGGATGCATTGGCACAGGATATCCTCAAGCTGGCCGAGGTCCAGAGTGAAACGGCAGCAGAAAGGTTAAAGTCGGGCAGTCCTGATGTCACGCCGGTGGCGTCCTACTGTTGATGCGAGCAACTTGAGGTTTCACACACACACACAAATAACATGCCCCCCCCCCAAACATTTCTGTTTATCACAACAGAGACTTAGAAAATGAATATTTTATCAAGCGAAGTAGTTGATATAAACTAGAGACTTAGTCATTCTATGATAATGTAAACATTCGAAAAAATTATAAGTATGAAGTTATCTTTTGATTTTAAAAATGTGTAATCTTGGACATAATTTGTAACTGTTTGGTTGAATGCACAGCATTCAGAGCTAAACCCTTCATACAACATGGGCTTTTTAGCACTAAGTTGTCGGTCTGCTCCGGTTGGTAAGACAAAAACTGTCATGTTGGTTGTATGACAGGATCTGATATTGGACATGGTGTGAGAAGGTAATGGGACCATGATTACGTTATTTTTATCTTTTAATCTAAATGTATTTTTATCCAACATTATTTGTTGAGCCAGAAACAAATTTTATTGATTTTATTGTCATACTCCCGTAGTGAGGGCCAAGGATGGTTCTGCTAATCTATGAAACTTTTGACCTACTAAACCAGAGTGGTCTCCCTTAATAATATATGTAGTCACCCTGTTAACCACAGTCTTAGGCTACAACCACACACACACACACCCACACTCAGCTGTGATATCACATTACCTATTACTGTGCGTTTATTCTATTCATGCCTAATGAATGTTCTTCTATAAGGTTTTGTTGTTTTTACTATGACTTATTAATTATTCAAGTATCCACATAGGTTTATAAGCTCATTTGTTAATGTGGGTTTTCAATGAAATTTTTAATATTCAATGAATAACCACAAAAGCTAGTTTTCTGATGTAAACAGACAAATGGAACACACTTGTGAACAGACTTGTAGCATTTTCTTTCAACTAAAATCCCAATGTTAAAGTACATGTCAGAGTTCCAAGGTCATACCTGTATTTCTGAATATAGTCAGTACCTGATGTACCAAAACAGAGAGGTGTAGCCTGCTGATAACATCAAGTATACATTTTTCTCTTCATCTATAGCAAGGTGCTTTGTAAACGTATTTTAAAAAATCATTTGCTCAGTTGCAAACTGGTTATAGCATTCTCAGAGAAAAAAGATGAAATGCTATTCCCAGAGAAATCTAAAGATTTTCTATTCATGCAATAGGAAGTCTGGTCAGCTCAGGTCTGCTGGACTCAACAGCTGCAATGGTTTGTATTGAGGTGTTTGCTTAGTTTAAATTGTAAAAACACGATTTTTTGACTGTATAAAAAACTTCCTTGATCCATGTAAAATATTTTACTGTAAAATGTCAAATTTAAATTGTCAACAAAAATAAGCTATGGATTCTGTCTCATGGGATTCACATTTCATAAAAAATCGATTTTTTAATAAATTGTGTTTGTATTCGTTTATTTTTAGTGAAATTTTGTTACATGTTTGTTATTTATTTGAAAATGCCCTCTAGCAGAATGGTTTGCTGTCACAACTTTATGGTGTTATTTGAAAACATCACCAATGGTTTGCTGTCACAACTTTATGGTGTTATTTGAAAGCATCACCAATGGTTTGCTGTCACAACTTTATGGTGTTATTTGAAAGCATCACCAATGGTTTGCTGTCACAACTTTATGGTGTTATTTGAAAGCATCACCAATGGTTTGCTGTCACAACTTTATGGTGTTATTTGAAAGCATCACCAATGGTTTGCTGTCACAACTTTATGGTGTTATTTGAAAGCATCACCAATGGCCTGTGTCCATGAAAATGCCTTCCCTGGAGAAATCTTGTAGGTTAAGATTGAGTGCTTTAAGTGCAGAGTTAACTCAGGGGAGTTGATCTGAGGGTAGCCACTTGAGTGAACTACCAGAGCTATGCTACAGCATGTGTGATTTTGAGGGACCTGTGTGTGAGTTTACACAAGGTCCTCCATTTTTGAAAATTTCTAATGAAAAAAGACATCAAGCAGAGATATGATCTTCAGGTCACTCTTAAATACTATTACAGGAGACAACACAGAAATGGCACACAGTGCCATGTTATTGGTATCCATGGTACAAAATGGCAGGCAGTGCCAGGTTATTGGTGTTCATGGCACAAAATGGCAGGCAGGGCCAGGTTATGGGTATTCATGGTACACAATGGCGGACCGTGCCAGGTTATGGATATCCATGGTACAAAATGGCATGGTGCGAGGTTATTGGTATTCATGGCACAAAATGGCAAGACAGTGCCAGGTTATTGGTATTCATGGTACACAATGGCAGGCAGTGCCAGGTTATGGGTATTCATGGTACACAATGGCAGACATTGCCAGGTTATGGGTATCCATGGTACAAATGGCAAGACAGTGCCAGGTTATGGGTATTCATGGTACACAATGGCAGACAGTGCCAGGTTATTGGTATCCATGGTACACAATGGTAAGACAGCGCCAGGTTATGGGTATTCATGGTACACAATGGCAGGCAGTGCCAGATTATTGGTATTCATGAGTCAAAATTTGTAGAACTTAAAAATGATACTTGTCTTTGATGATGATTGTATTTGAGAGCAGTCTTGAAGGTCTGGATGGTCGGTATATTGCGGATGTGTAAAGGGAGAAAACTCCATGGTTTGGGGGGGAACTCCATGGTGTGGGGGGGGGGGGCGCAGAAAGAGAAAGATCCCACAAACTAGTGTTTTTGTTGCGCTAGCTGGGAGATAGTGGCGGATGTAACTGATCTGACGGATGGCTCATCTCTAGAATCCTACAAACAAAAAACAGAAAATTTGTTATACTTAGTGATATGATGTCTAACACAACGAAAACTAACACCTCTGTTCGGCTTCGTGTTTACATTTTTAATGACTAGCTCCAAGCAAAACAACATGGCCCCTTGCATATCAATGCAAGAAAGACGGGCCTTGTGCACTGACAACACAGGGAAGCAACTGTGACAATACAACGACATCACAACATTGAAGAGGCTTGTAAACAACGGAAGATGTTCAACAATTTAGAAATGGTGTCTGGCTTAGCTTCAGCAGCGGGTCGCCATTCAGCACTAATGTAAACAACAGACAGTCTGGCTTAGCTTCAGCAGCGGGTTGTCGTTCAGCACCAATGTAAACAACACACAGTCTGGCTTAGCTTCAGCAGCGGGTTGTCGTTCAGCACCAATGTAAACAACAGACAGTCTGGCTTAGCTTCAGCAGCGGGTTGTCGTTCAGCACCAATGTAAACAACAGACGGTCTGGCTTAGCTTCAGCAGCGCGTTGCCTTTCAGCACCAATGTAAACAACAGACAGTCTGGCTTAGCTTCAGCAGCGCGTTGCCTTTCAGCACCAATGTAAACAACAGACAGTCTGGCTTAGCTTCAGCAGCGGGTTGCCTTTCAGCACCAATGTAAACAACAGACAATCTGGCTTAGCTTCAGCAGCGGGTTGCCTTTCAGCACCAATGTAAACAACAGATAGTCTGGCTTAGCTTCAGCAGCGGGTTGCCTTTCAGCACCAATGATTAAAAATGACACCGATATTCTATTGTGATCATAAACAGTCACTGATAACTTATTGTGATTATCATGTATGGATACTTGGTGGCCGAGTGGTTTCAAACTGAGTCCATCCCCAGCCTAGATAAGAGAAAACCATCACCAGCATCCCGGGTGGATGGGACTCATTAACCTTGGATGGCAACTCATCTAAGAGAAGGCAACTCTGAAAATTAACCTGGAGACGGAGTCACGTTAATGTTGTCAGTGACAGTCTATGATCACAGTATTATTCGTCCTTCGCATGCGAAGATGACAAGGCGTCGACTTAAGAAGCAGCCTTGAAATAAGCTGTATTTTGTTACAAGTGAGGGAGAGTTGCTCAGTTCGTCAGCCTCACTCTCTCGTCCTTGCCTATTTGATCTAATGGAAAGACGACTGGAAATAGACCAAGATCCAGTGGATGATGAGCAGTATATTTAATGTGTCTCACTGTGCTCTAGCGCGTTCCACATCGCAGGAGTTGTCGGAGTTTTGATTGTGTCAATGTCATACCACCTACTAGCAAACAGACGACTGGAAAATGTTTATGATTCAAAGAAGGGGGGGGGGGCATTTGCTAAGGCCGTCACTGAGTAGATGAGTTATCCGATAATTATATAGCTAAGGCCGTCACTGAGTAGATGAGTTATCCGATAATTATATAGCTAAGGCCATCACTGAGAAGAAAAAATCTATTGTATAAAGCTTCTCTCGCCAGAGAGTTTATTTTATTGCTTAGGTTCAATGACATGCGGCCGTCAAAATGACACGTGATGTCACTTATGTTGGCCACCCCTGACTGAGACAAGGATCTGAAGATAACTATAATGTTGTATCTTATGGTGTCCTGAGTTAATTATAATGTTGTATCTAATGGTGTCTTGAGTTAATTATAATGTTGTATCCAATGGTGTCTTGAGTTAATTATAATGTTGTATCTAATGCATGGTGTCTTGAGTTAACTATAATGTTGTATCTAATGGTGTCTTGAGATAACTATAATGTTGTATCTAATTGTGTCTTGAGATAACAATAACGTTGTATCCAATGGTGTCTTGAGTTAACTATAACGTTGTATCTAATGGTGTCTTGAGATAACTATAATGTTGTATCTCATGGTGTCTTGAGATATCTATAATGTTGTATCTAATTGTGTCTTGAGATAACTATAATGTTGTATCTCACGGTGTCTTGAGATATCTATAATGTTGTATCTAATTGTGTCTTGAGATAACTATAATGTTGTATCTCATGGTGTCTTGAGATATCTATAATGTTGTATCTAATGTAGGGTGACAAAACGTCCTGTAAAAACGGGATTGTCCCGTTTTTTCACGATCCTACCCGGTGTCCCGAAAAAGTCTTTTCGAGTCGCCTAAATGTCCCGTTTCTAAAGCCAAACACATTTTCAACTCACTAAAACTTCCTTATTTATGATATAACTTCAAGTAATATTTTGACTAGCTGTGTAGCCAGTGCCAGTAGTAATGTGGGCTTGCGCGATAGCTGCATTTAATTTGTTGTGTTGTATTATGTTGTAAAATATGTAGGCTATAAATAAACTAACTGCAAAATGATACTTTTCGTTTGTGATACGCCCCAGAGTTAAAATTAAATTACAAAAGTGAAGGTAATTTAAAAAGATTTCTAGGTCTCAGAATAGTTCAAATGGGCGTGTTTCAAATAACCGTTTCCGGCGGACGCCCCCCGGATACCTCTTTAGCTGGAGGGTATCCCCCCCCCCAATCCCTCATTGGGTGTGTCCCGTTTTTTCTAGTTCATGATTTGGTCACCCTAATCTAATGGTGTCTTGAGATAACTATATTGTTGTATCTAATGGTGTCTATAATGTTATATCTAATGGTGTCTTGAATATCCAGGGGAATGTCATTTGTTAACAGCTGCTCCTGTTAAGTAGTATGATCAATCAGGTCAGAGTATAAGATTTAATTGATATGTTTGAATCTCACAATAATCAAGAGAAGTGATTGTCAAGAAGGTTGGAGGAGCTCAGAACTCATTTTTTAGATTAGGACCGATTAGCAATTAACTTCATTTGAACACAGAGTGAGAAATCTTGACATGTTTTGACTTTCAGAACATCATTGATTCCTGCTATGCTTTCAGAACATCATTGATTCCTTCTATACTTTCAGAACATCATTGATTCCTGCTATGCTTTCAGAACATGATTGATTCCTGCTATACTTTCAGAACATCATTAATTCCTTCTATACTTTCAGAACATCATTGATTCCTTCTATACTTTCAGAACATCAATGATTCCTGCTATACTTTCAGAACATCACTGATTCCTGCTATGCTTTCAGAAATCATTGATTCCTTCTATACTTTCAGAACATCACTGATTCCTTCTATACTTTCAGAACATCATTGATTCATTCGATACTTTCAGAACATAATTGATTCCTGCTATGCTTTCGAACATCATTGCAACCTTCTCTATTTTGAAAGCGTGATGGAAAGTCCCATAATTTCCATTTATAAACATAAAGAAATTAAGCAGTTAAGGAAAAAATCATTTAGAGACCTTACCAGTCTGTTGTAGTTATTAGAAGTTCTTTTCTTTTCTTTTTTTTAAAAAAAGATTTGCATTGTATTCGGTACAGACTGATAACCCACCCGCTCTTGACAAATTGACTTATTGACACTTAGGCTTACTTATTGACAGATAGGCCCACTTAGGGACAGATAGGCCTACTTAGGGACAGATAGGCCTACTTAGGGACAGATAGGCCATCTTAGGGACAGATAGGCCTACTTAGGGACAGATAGGCCTACTTAGGGACAGATAGGCCTACTTAGGGACAGATAGGCCTACTTGGGACAGATATGCCTACTTAGAGACAGAT